CTGGCCTCGAAAAATACAATGTGATAAGGGCACTGAGTTTATGGAATACGTGACTTTATTAATAGATAAATATGACGTTGAGATCTGAATAATGTTAGCATGTTTTAGGCATATAAGTTTCACAATGATTGATCATTATGCTAAATTATTTGAATATAGAGTTTTTAAAAATCAGTATTCAATAGAGTTTCTCCTACCTACTGGCAAGTGCTATAAAGAATGTGAGCAGTTTGTAAGAAAAATTGTTAATAATATGAATGATAGCCCAACTCAATTGATTGGGATGAGTTCTAATAACACCACAAAACTTGAGCGGATATATTTCAAACTATTAGTAAAATATAATCGCTTAATAGGTATTGATGAACTACAACTACCAAAGGGTACTACTATCCAATTTTTACTCATTCCTAAAGAGTGAGAAAATGATTCTTTTGAGCGACGCAGAATAACAGATCCGATATAATTTCTTAGCCTACATAAGATTTGAAGAATTATTGTTAGAAAGAATCCTCCAATGCCTATTTTATATTATTTAGATGAATCAAGGTCTCAACGACCCTTCATAAGAGAATAGTTAATGCATATTAAGGAAGAATTTATGTTGCCTCCTAGGTAGGTATTGGGATATAACTAAATATATACAAGGCGTTTCTTATAAAAGTTTCTAAGTCTACTATGCAGTAGGATATAGTTATAAGAATTACTCCTTCCCTGTAGCATAGCGTCCTCTTTTCCTAATCATCTCAGATTTGTGCGTTTAAATTCATCTGCCCTTGCAGGTGAAAAAAAAGGATAATTTAGTAATGTTGGCTACCACTATATTCAAAGGCTAAGCCTAATTTTTCATTATAACCATCTAGATGTAATTCCTCCAAGAATTTAGACTTTGGAGTGAAAATTTTTTATGTAATAAATCCTCAAATATATACTGGCATATTCTTTCTGATATATTAGAATAAATGTTACACTATTTATAATTCTGTTTTATATTTTTATATAGCGCTTCCTATTGATGACCCTTTTTATATGACCATAAATATGTATTAGGACTAACTTTGCCTAAGCATCTTCCTTTACATCTTTGGGCATATGCCAGAGCTTTAGTATCAATTTCATTTTGCATTTTATAGGTATAATAGAATATTATGTACAAAAATTTGCAGTAGTGATCATCAAGTATGGTCAGAAAAATCGATCTAGATATATGCAAATCTAAGTGCAAATTCGAAAGTAAAATTAAACTTAGCTACTACTATTGTATAAGTAAAAAATAAATATCACTAGTATTCTTAGTAGAAAGTGGTAATTTCGGCTAAGAGTACTTGACAATACAGCTCACAATCTTGTCTATATATTCACTGTTCCTTTTTTTTTATGTATTATTGATATCATTAAGTAGATCGATATCTTTTAGCAATTTTTTTGTTTGCTTATAAAGATTTTACCATTGTATATGAAATTTATTTTGTAAAACAGATGACTTAATAAGACAGGAAAGAATTCTTGTAAGATTATTTATATGGGATTTGATTATTGCATGAACATTTGCAATTTATTCTTCTACTGTAATCCAATTATAATATGGAGTATAGAGAACTGTATAAATACAGGTTATTTCTTGTTCACTACAGTCTAGCTGATATTTGATAAAATTAAGATCTTTACGAAATTTCCTTTCTTTTAGCTTTAAAATAACTCAAAATGCTTCAGAATTCCATTGATGATTCACAGTAAGACAGGAATATAGTATATCTTCAATCTTGAGATTACTAAAAATTAATTCAAGCAGTTCAGAACAAATAAATGGGTTAGGCCCAGAATTTTTTTGCGCAAGTAGTATGATAGTATATTCAAGAAACTAGTATAAAATAACAGAGATACTAGCAAAGTTCAAAATAAAAATTTTATATAATTTTGAGTGAATATGCTTGCTAGTAAAATACTGGGTTGGTGGTAATACCTAGCGCTAAGCTGAAAAAAAGTAAATGATGTGGTAGTATCCTAAAGTGATCAATGTGATAGTACTTCAAAGTGGTTGATGTAGTAGTATCCTAAAGTATCCCAGAGTAGTAACTATATGAGAAAGGGTTCTAGAAAGGTAGGAGCAAAAAATAAGATATAAAATTGGTAGTATCCCAAGTTAAAATAATATATAGAAAAGAAAATAAGAAATTACAATTTGGGGTACTACCGCCGATAGGCAGAAAAGAGGTTAGAAAGGCAGAAAGGTTTAGGAGAATACACGAAAAAAGGTATAAAAGCAATATAGCCTAAACTAATTCAGCATTTTGTGCCTCATTCTTAGCAATCAAAATAGTTATAGACAGAATTGTAAGAATGGCACAACACTAGCACTTCGTGTCTTACTGGCAATCAAAAAATGAGTAAACAGATTGCAACACATCTTTAGCAACTAGATGAATTGCAAATTTAATATTTTGTGTCTCATTTAGCAATCAAATGGGCCAGCCATAATAATGTCTATCACACCTCCGATTCTCTAACCAACTGATCACTAAATTAGGCTCTTAAAAGTTACTCAAAAGTTACTTGAAAGTGCCTAGAACTGACGAGGAACTGAACATATGATTGGCGCAGTAAATTTCGTTAATTTCGGCCAGCACTAATCCATATTTTTTTTCAAACTTGAGATACAATACTCAGCATTCAGACATCTGATTCATGCGATTTTAGCATCATTGGAAAGCTCTTAATATCCTCTTTTAAATGTTCATAAAACTGCATGAAATAAATCACAGGAAGCCAAAATATTCTGCCTTAAAGATTAGCCAAAAATTATGTCATAGTACTGGTCAAAATCTGATCTGCAAATTAACTGCATCATCTAATCACAGCATGATTTTTAGCAATCAATGTTGGTCTAGCATCTTGATCACAAAAAAGCTACAAAGCAATAAAAACAAGTAGATAGCTAGAAGGTAATAAAAATAGAATAGAGCAATAAAATTAAACAAATATCCACAAAGCAATAAAAGAGCTACAGAGCAATAAAAATAAGTGGATATCAATAAAGCATTAAAATGATCACAGAACAGTAAAAACAGTAACTAGGTAATATTATACTCATAACTAGATAATATTATAACGCAACTGGATAACACTTTTATAAGAGTATTATCCAGTAGTAGTCAAAAATTTATTAAGAAAAAAAGTATTTAAAGATGAAACTTATTATTAGCAACTATGAAATTTGTTAAGCTAAGAAAATGAAAAGTTATATATTTAAAATAAGAAATAAAAAAATTAAAAACTTTCTTAATTTATAAGATTAATATAATCATATGAATAAGTTATGATTAAGTTTTTAGTAAACATAAATAGTAGAAAAAATTTAAAAATACTAAAAAATTAATTAGTAAAAAATAATAAAATATAAATATATATCTGAATTATCTAAGTTTATAATATTAGATTATAAAATGATATTTATATTATGATATAATAATTAAATTATATTTATATTATTTAGATTATAAAATAATAGGTTCATTATAACATGGTAATTAGGTTTATATATATTATTTAAATTATAAATTAGTAATATAACTTAATCTAAGTGATATATCAAGATATAATATAATTATGTGATATTATAGTATATTACTAAATTAATAAATAATAATTTATTAATAAGTAGATAATAATCTAATATAAAATAAATAATAATTTAATATATATTAATTATATTATAAATTATAATTAATATTTATAAATATAAATATTATTAAATTATTATTTATAAAATTTTTTAATATAAAGTAAATAGTCAAATGTATTTATAAATCTTATTATTTTTAAATTAAGTATAAGATAAAAATTTATAAATAATTATTACTATATCTTTAATTTTTAGTTTAAAGTAAAGATTAAAATTATATCAAGTTAAAAAAAAAATGAAAAATATTTAAAATAAAATCTTTTAATTTTTAATTTAAAATAAAAGAAATGACTATATAATCTATTTTATTATTATAATTAAATTATCTTTTAAAAATAATAAAAATTTAAAATATTGAATAAACAACTAAAATATATTTATAATATTTATTATTTATTATAACTTTAATTACAAATTATGATAAATTTTTAGTTAATTCTAATTTACATTTTGTATAAAATTGGTCATAATATTTTCAATAAAATGGGTGCTTATTTTCGGAAAGGTCATTTCGGGAACAAAACTTGAAAGTGTAAAAAGCTTTGAACAATAGACAAATGTAACAATTCCAGGCTAATTACTATGTAAAAACGTGATGTTTATTTGTGTTAGGTAAGTATTTCATTTATGATTTTTCTAAAATTTGTGAAAATCTCAATGTGGTATTTTTTAACAACCTGACTCATTTTCACATTTAGTTACGGAGCGAAATCAACAAAGCCCCCTCATTAATTTTTACATATGGTAATAAACTATCTGAAATTGATCGTCGGCTTGGTTTTTTATTTTTAGAGAACCGGCCCGTTTTTGGCTTAGATCATGGCTTTGAGATCGAATTAAACAATTTGGTATTCAAAATTGGTTATTTTAAATAATTATCACATTCCCAGGTGAAACTATGGATATAATGTATGATCGCGACACAAATGTATTCCAAGTGTTACTATTTTTCCAATTTACATACATATTAAGGAATAATGTAAAGGAATAGTCAAACATATGCAACGATAATTAATGCATAAAAATATTACCAGTTGCCTCCTTTAGAATTGGGGGCATCACGTTTTTGTACTTCAAAAAAGAACTACGGATATTTGGTAAAATTGTAATAATCAAAGCCTCATTGATTCGATACACTCTTTTAACAACTCCTTTCGACTCCTAAATAACCCCCACCTTCTTTTATTTCTCCCTTCATCTGACGACATTGAAACTCAAAACGCTTTCTTGAGTGACAACGTTGTTAAGGTTGAAACTTTCTTTAAATAATTACCTTTTTCTTAATATCTAATATATATAATACAAAAAAAAAGTCAACATGACTTTTTTTGGTCGAAAGAAGGGACAAGACGATGAAGATATTGAGAATAGCTCGGGTTCAGGACATAAAAGAAATGTGTCCACAGCGTCAACAATGCAAACCCTTCCAAAACGTCGCATAAACGTGAATACTCCACTTCCACAAGCCGATTTAGATCAGTATGGAGAACCAAAAGCACGATATGCTGCGAATAAAATTCGTACCTCAAAGTATACCTTATTAACCTTTTTACCAAAAAATCTTATTGAACAATTCCGTAGAGTAGCGAATGTGTATTTTCTTTTTTTAGTCGTCTTACAATTATTTCCAATGATTGGTGGTGACGTTCAACCTTTATTATCCGCCTCACCACTTATTACCATTATCTCAATGACAGCTTTCAAAGATGCTTTTGAAGATTGGAAACGTCATTCACAGGATAATTCCTTAAATAAATCAAAAACAATTCGTTTAAGTAATTGGAAGAATGTTAATGTACCAACGGGACAAAATACTCGAAAACAATTTTTGAGCCAAATATTTGATGTCCTTTTTTGCTGGTTAGGTTATAGAACTAGTGAGAATGGTAGCGGTGGCGCTGGTACCAGTGATAATAAAGGGGATAGTTTAGAAGAATCTGATGCGAAATGGGTTGAAAGTCGTTGGCAGGATGTAAAAGTTGGTGATATTATTAAATTAAAGAACAATGATTCTGTTCCTGCTGATATGATAATTTTATCCACAAGCGAACCGGATGGTCTTTGCTACGTGGAAACAAAAGAACTTGATGGTGAAACAAATCTTAAAATTCGTCATTGCGTTCCTTCTACTGCTTCATTGAAATCGGAAACAGATTGTGAACGTGTTTCTTTCTATGTGGATTCCGAACCTCCCCATGCAAATTTATATTCTTATACTGGTGTGTTACATTGGTCTGATCAACCGGGAACCGAAAGTGGTCAAAAAGTAGAGCCAATATCCATTAATGACGTAATGTTGAGAGGCTGCGTATTGCGTAATACTGAATGGGCAATATGTTTGGTTATTTTTACTGGCACAGATACAAAAATCATGTTGAATTCTGGAGACACACCCAGTAAGAGAAGTCGTATTGAAATAGAGACGAATTTTCATGTACGTTTAAATTATTATTGCTCGATATTTATTTTTTTTTTTTTAAAAAAAAAAAAAAAAAATCTAAATATTTGGATTAATATTTTTATTTTCTTTTTTTATTTATTTTTATTTATTTAATTTTTTTTTTTTTTTTTAAAATACATGTATATATATATATGCATTTTTTTTTTATTTTTCTTTTTTATTTATTTTGTTTTTTAGGTTTCCATGAATTTCATCATTTTGTTCTTATTATGTTTAGGTTCTGCCATTGCTGATTCCATTTATTTCCTTGAACCTAAAAGTTCTGCAGACTTTTTTGAAGGAGGTGGTGGTAATGCTGATACTGCACATGCAAGTGGGTTTATAACCTTTTGGTAAGATTAATTAATTGTCTTGATAAATTTTCTTTGTATGATTTATTGTTATTTAATTTCATACATTCCGATATTTATCTAGGGTGAGTTTAATCTTATTTCAAAATATTGTACCAATCTCCTTATATATTACAATTGAAATGGTAAAAACGGTTCAAGCGTATTTTATCTACTCGGATGTTGATCTGTATTATGAGAAACTTGATTATCCATGTACTCCAAAAACTTGGAATATATCTGATGATTTAGGTCAAATTGAATACATATTTTCGGATAAAACCGGAACTTTAACTCAAAATGTCATGGAATTCCGTAAGTGCACGATCAACGGAATATCTTATGGGTTAGGTGAAACTGATACTACACGCGGTGCTAAGCTTGCAGATAACTATCAAAAGTCGGATTCTAAAGATGATGTTGATCTTGAGGCAGAAAAAAAATTAATGTTAACCGAAATGTCTAAATTATTTGATAATCGTTATATTTCATCAAATCTCACATTTATTGATTCGAAACTATATCGAGATTTGAAAGCAGAAGACAAACAATCCAAATCTATAAAGGACTTCTTTTCGGCTCTTGCTCTATGTCATACCGTTCTTGTAGAACATCCTGATGAAAATAATCTTTTCAAGATTGAATATAAAGCACAATCTCCTGATGAAGCTGCCCTTGTTGGTTGTGCGAGAGATGCTGGTTTCGTATTTCTTGAACGTTATCAAGACACTTTGGTTATAGAGATGTTGGGTGAACGTAAAGAATTCACCTTGTTAAATGTATTAGAATTTAACAGCACGCGTAAAAGAATGTCCGTCATTTTAAGACCTCCCGAAGGTGGTGTTGTCTTGTTATGCAAAGGTGCCGATAGTGTGATTTATGAACGGCTTGAAAAAGGTCGCCAAACAAAGCTGAGGGAAGAAACTTTGTCTGATTTAGAAGTTTTCGCCAATGAAGGTCTTCGTACACTTTGTATTGCTTATCGTGTCATACCAGATGAAGAATACAATGTATGGGCTAAAAAATATGCAGAAGCTGCTTCAAGTATCAATGACCGTGAGGAAAAAGTTGAGGAAGCCTGTGAAATGATTGAACATTCTTTGACTTTGATGGGTGGTACTGCAATCGAAGATCGCCTTCAGGAAGGTGTTCCTGAATGTATAGCCACTTTAGCTAAAGCGGGAATTAAAATTTGGGTACTTACCGGTGACAAGACGGAGACTGCCATTAATATTGGTTTTGCTTGTAATTTATTACAGAAAGACATGCTTTTAATTGTTATTACTGCATCCGACAAACAAGGAGCAAAACGTCAATTAGATGAAGCTCTCAAAAAATTTTTTGGATCAAACATTGAAAATAAAAGTAGTAAACATGCTCTCATCATTGATGGCGAAACTCTCAAATACGCTTTGGATAAGAATATTAAACCCTTATTTTTAGAACTTGGAAAGAGATGTCAAAGCGTCGTTTGTTGTCGGGTTAGTCCTTTACAAAAAGCTAAAGTTGTTGGCATGGTAAAAGAAGGATTAAATGTTATGACTCTATCTATTGGAGATGGTGAGTGAAAGAAATCTTTATTTAAATTTGGATTTCCCATTTGATGAATGATAGGTGCGATCAATTTAATATAACGTTAATTTATTTTTATTTTATATAGGTGCAAACGATGTAAGCATGATTCAAGAGGCAAATGTTGGTGTGGGTATTGCTGGAGAAGAAGGACGTCAAGCTACGATGGCTGCAGATTACGCCTTTGCCCAATTTAAATTTTTGGAAAAACTTTTATTAGTCCATGGTCGATGGTCTTATATTAGAATTGCTGAAATGATTTCGTGTTTCTTTTACAAGAACGTGGTTTGGACAATTGCAATGTTCTGGTATCAGATTTGGGCAGGATTTTCAGCGCAATATCTTTATGATTATACGTACATTTTGCTTTATAATCTTGTGTTCACAGCGGTTCCCGTAATGTTTCTCGGTGCATTTGATCAAGACGTTGATGCTAAAACTTCGTTGAAATATCCACAATTGTATAAACGTGGTATCTTGCAAGAAGATTTTACAAAATCGAAATTTTGGCTTTATGTTTTGGATGCTATTTATCAATCGATTGTTTGCTTCTTTGTACCTTTTGGACTATTTCAATATGGTTCTTCGCACGTAACAGGATTAACAAATAATGGATTAGATGATTTAGGTACCTTGGTCGCGGGAGCTGTTGTAGTTACAACGAATTTATATGTTGGGTTAAACATCATGAATTGGTCGTGGTTAGCATTTGTAGTTATTTGTATAAGTATTCTATCATTTTATATATGGGTTGAATTTTATTCCATTTGGGCTTCTATTGGATTTTTCCGTATGGATCTAATATTATTTTCAGAAATAGATTTTTGGTTAGGAATACTTTTGGCAGCATTTATAAGCATTTTACCACGGTTCACGGTTAAATACCTTCATAAATCGTATTGGCCCACTGATACAGATATCATTCGTGAAAAAGTTAAATTATCTAAACAAAAGAAGGATTTAGTGGAACCAGATGATGATAAAATACCCATAGCAAGTCCTTTAGGTTTCGATTCATTCAATACAAGTAACGCAACGATATCTGACACTTCATTAAGTGATCAACCAATTACAAAGGAACGTGAGGTACCAAAATTGCAAAAGATTACAACACTTCAAAAAGGAAGAACTGCATCCTTAAGATCAGAAGAACAATTTTATCACATGCAATCAGGAAAGCGTCAATCATTTACAGGATTTGCATTTTCTAGCGAAGAAAGTTCATTTGAAGCATTTAGAACATCGGTATATCGACCAACACAAGCTCGAACACCCTCACATCACCGATCGAATACCATAACGACTGTAAATAACAATAGATCATCACTTTTATCAACTCATACTTTAAATCGCAGTCAAACATTACCAAGTACTTTATTTAGTGGGATCTCCCCAAGTCCTAGTCGATCAACATCACCAAATAGATCGATTAGCGATAATAGATCACAGAGATCCGGTGATGATAGACGATTGAGAGGTGAAGGGGAAGAAGTTGAACTCTCTATCATGTCGCCATCATCATCACATTCATCATAGATTAGACTTTTTTTTCCATTTTGTAAAGTAATATCCATATATTATATCCCATAATATAATATTTCTTCCTCGCGATACTTTTTAATACTTATTTATTTCACTTTTTTTTTTTTTCTTTTTTATTTATTTATTTAACTTTGTAATATATTATTAAAAGATAAAACACGAGAAAGTGATTGAGTTTCCTTTTTACATTATATTAATTTTTTATTTTTTCCTTTGAGGCTAAAATATTGGTGGTCTATTTGTACTTTCTTCGATATTATTCACATTCTCTTGATCGGAGGCAGTAATCAAAGAATATACTGAGGCTTTAAACAAAGTATATACAAGCCCAATCTTTTTCTCCAAAGTACGAAGTTTGTCAACAAGGATTACGATATCACTTGTATTCATTTGAGTAATTGTTACGTTAATCTAAGGAAAGATTAGATTTTATTTTATTTTATTTTCTTTTACAATACAATATTCGGTTTTTGAGAAAAAAAACCTTACCTTGTCAATGTGAGAGCCTAGTTTCTCGTATTCCGAAAGAATATCTTTTTCGAGATTAATAGGGGAAACATTTGTTGACTGTTGAATATTCATTTTGAGTAATAGAAACGCGTTAAATTTTCGAGTTAAAAAAATATATATTATATATATATATATTCCAAAACGCCAAAATTCGAGATTACCTTTAATGCCGGCCAGAAATTTCACATGATCAAGATCATCAGTGCTTGACACAAAAATCTTGAGGGCAGAATGCACGATTACTGTTTATGTAATAATAATTAAGGTTACCATGTTTGAAATTTTGATTATCCCCCAACATGCAAGGAGAAAAGTTTTATATAGATATTATTATACAAGTTTTTCCAAATAAATATTGTTCAACATTCATTACATTCATTAAATATTGATGGATTGCCGAATTACTTGATTAATCATTTCAATTTAATTTAATTAATAATTTACTAAATCTAATCATTATTTTTTATATTTCTGTTTTTGATGATTAAAAAAAATTACATCATTTATTTTAACCTGATTGGGTTTGTGTAAGAATTAAAAGGTTTTATAAAAAAAAAAAAATTGACGCACAAAAAGATTTGTCATTTGTCATTCAAACCGTCATTTTGTACTCACTTTATAAAAAGAAAAAAGGAAATTTTAATTCAAAGGAATTAAATTTAGCAAAAAAAGTAATGATAATGAAAATAATAAAAAGGTAGTTGTAATACACAACTTTAAAAAAAAAAAAAAATTTATGTTAGATTTGGTAAATCTGTGTTTAAGATGGTAAATGAAGGAATGTGACTAAAATAAATTAATACTTTAAATTAGGAAAACAATTGAAAAATAATAAAGTCATTATGATAAATATGCAATGCGTAAAGTGGTTACACCAGGCTGTTCTGAATTAAATATTTTTTTTTTTTTGTATTTCATCCTTTTTTTATGATTAAATAGAATTTCCTATAAGAGATACATATTACTAAAATTGATTCAATCCGTATTTGAATGGAAATGAGATTTTTTTGAAAAGCAGGGTCTTTTTATTTTATTTAACGATAAACATTTAAAAAAATTTTTTTTTAAACTTTTATTACACAGCATTAATAAATCAGGTTTATTTAAATTTCATTCCAATAGAGGAAAAGCCAAAATTAACGAGCAGGCGCAGCCTTGGTTTTTTGGGGGGATAGCCACAATTCCACACTGCCCCATGGCGTAGAATATTTTTATTTTTTTCGTTGAAGCCGTATCTCCTATCTTGCCCTTTAACGTCGTATCTTTCTTTCGTTCTGAGGCGTGGACGAATTGCGCAGTATAGAAAAACACACAGCCAATTCATGTTTTACGTTACGGCTGTAACCAATTTCGTAGTGTTACAGAATGAAAAGCTTTCACATTCAATGGAATGATCCCCTTTTTTTTTATTGATAGAATTAAAGACCAAACATTCTAATTACTCTAAAGTGGCTTTTTCATTATTATAATTCACTTTTTGGTCACCATGTTGATGATTCTTTTAAGAGCGCACAAAAAAAAACAAACATGTCTGAAATTCATCCGATTTTGTTATCATTAACAAAGTCCTTGGTTTCATTTTATCTATGCAATGCACACATGATATAACATTTTACTTTTATCTCATAAAAAATTATTTTCACCCGCAAATAGAACGGAAGTTGAATTAATTTGCGTCCAAAAGTGGAAAATGTCTTTAACCATTATAATCATTCTACAAAGAAAATAGAACAATTGTTCTTTTTTTTTTGATTCTAATTCAAATAAAGTCATTCATTATGTTTCGTTGTTCCTTTTTTTTTTAACTGCCCTTTTTTCTTCATTGTCAATCCCCCTTTCATTTGTTTTTCCTATTTTGGTCAAGTATGAACATTTAATAATGACATACTGAGCAAAATTCATTCACAAATTATCTAATACATATATTTTTTTTATCGAGATTAAAAACTTGTCATATTTTTTATTACTAAATAATAATTTTATTTTAATTTAATTAGCCCTTCGGTTTATTACACGCGGCCTTTTCCGAATTCCCCGTCAGGCAGACAAAAAACCAAAGAAACCTTTCCACATAATTTACATAAAGCCTAATATGGTTCATAACTTACTTTTCGTCATCATGTAAAACTCAGGTGTAACAGGTTTCAAACCATTTTGTATCTTATTGTTTTGACTTTTCTAGCTTTTTGCATTAATAATAATGTCTTTATTAAAAATGTGGCTTTTATATATATATATATTATATATTATATTATTATATTATATTATAAATAAATAAATAAATAAAAAAAAAAAAAAAAAATTATAAAATTTATATGTTCTGACGATTGAGCCTCCTTTCAATTTTCCTTTTCTTGTTTACTGTTACACTGCATGTGTAACTTTATAAATTCTTTATAGTTCAACTAACATCTACAAATCCTTTCCTAAAAAAAGCCTCTATTGAAAAAATTGCTACACAACAAATAAATTCTCTTTAACTTTTTACAGACATTTTTGTGTTTCCTGACACATCATCAAAAACCTCTTTGTCCTTTTTTTTTTATTAGTTGTTCTCCGGTTGCTTGTTTCTCTTTTTTCCTTATAAATTCAACCTTTTTGTGAAGAAATTCAAGTATCTTTATTATAATTCTTATACGAATATTCGTGAAGTAAACTTTAAAAAGTTTTGTAACTCTTACGTACTTCTTTGACGGTACCCTCATATCTCTTGTTTGATAAATCTTATAAATAACTCTTAACGACCAAGTTCTTTACCTCTCCACCTGTTAAAAAAAAAAATAAAAAAGAAAATTAATAATAATAATAATAATAATAAAGAAGGCTTTTTAAAATTGTTGAAACGATATAACGACTTATGTAAGTATATTTACATACGATAAAATAGTACTTTGAACCTTTTTTTATACACGTATTAAACCATTACTTGAGACTTCAAAACCTTTTTTATTTTAAAATCTTTTCTTTTATGCTCATTGTTTTTATGATAAAATTTTATTGGGTTGGCTTGTTTTTGTTCGTTTCTTTTACTTTTGATTCCAACTTGTGTGTCACGTAACCTTACACAATTTACTTAAATCAACTATCCTGTCTAGTTATAGATTAAGTTCTTAATTATTATTCTCTCGTCAAAGGTCTATTTTTAACGAATTTTTTTTTTTTTAAAAAAAATACTTTCGCGAACAGTTATTATCAACTCAGAAGTTCACGTCATTCATCAGAATCTTCAATTGTAAGTTCTCTCTCTCCTCCCATTTATGACGTTTCGGTGCGCGTTAACTTGTCATTAATAATCATTTCTAACTTCCTTACTTTCCCTATTTTTTTTCGTTATCAGATTAAAAATTTATAAAAATGTCCAACGTCAACGTTTATGATCACTTTCCCGCAATGTCTTCAGTTGCCTCTCGACGAACTTCAGCCGTTTCAATAAATGCTTTGTTAAATCCTGAACCCGAAGAACAACAATCTTACATGTCGCCTTCCTATCCTGCTTCACCGAGTAATATAGATTGGTATGATATCAAAATCCTTTCTGATGACCAACCTTTAATCAATCAAGGGTGTTCATAAATTTGCGTCTTTCTTTTTTCGACTTCAAATTTAACGTCCGAATTCTTTAATTCTCTCAGTTATTATAATGAAACTAGTTCTCCACAAGTCTCCCCTGATGACTCCACTTCCCAATCAATGCCGGCCTCTCCAATGTCAAAACATTCATCATCTACATTGGCATACAATGGAAACGGAACCAGTATTAAAACCGAAAAGGCGGTGGCAATCACGTCAAGAAGATCGTCCTCTTCGGTCCCATCTTCTCGTAGGGGTTCGTTGAATCGAACTTCGGGACCTGGACAAGCTATCATTTCTTCAGATGGTAACTCTAATATAATTACACCACCACAAACCCCTGGTATCAAGTCCCCGACAAAGTCAAACTTTGCATTCCCGCCAAATTCAAACGGGGCGACCACCAGCAATGATCAATCAAATAATCAACCCATGCCTCCAAAGGTAAAACGCAAGCGAATCACTCAGGAACAATTGCAAGATTTGGTTGCGATGTTCGACCAAACTGACACGCCAAGTTACGATGTACGAGAAAAGCTTGCCAAGAAATTGAATATGACGAATCGTGAGGTTCAGGTATAGCGATCATCTCATTCATAACAAATTTTTTTATCGATGTTTAAGTTTCTCGACTTGTATTTATTTATCGACAAAATTTAAACTTACAATTTACGTCTCAATTGATTAGGTATGGTTCCAAAACCGACGCGCGAAAGCGAATCGGGCAAAGGCAAATGAACACAATGCATCCCACCAGCACCACCGATTCTTACATCATCACTCTGTGTCGACGGCGCAGGCTGCCAGCGGACACGCATCGTCAATTGGTATGATGCCACACGGGAATTTCACATTCGTTCCCATGTTTGCCAACGGTGGTCCGTCAACAGGTGGTCCGGCTAGGGGTCGTAACAGTCGCCGGCATTCATATGTTCCGCCGACGAATAACAATCAAAAGAAAGTGCCTCAGAACACCCCACATACAAGACCAAGGGCTTCCACTGTCACAGGAGTGCCTATGACAACGATGGGTTCACATGGACATTCGATTCACGTTGCTCCTCAACAACACCAGCAATCGCAATCGACTCCCAAAATGATGGTTGTACCACCGCCAATTAAGATCTTACCATTTGTCCATGAACAACGCCACGTTAGTAGTCTTGGTCAATCGCATCATCCCGTATACGGACATCCATACGCTCATAGTGTTCCGCCTTCACCTATCTCGCCCATCACCCCAATTTCACCAAACACACCAATCCTTCCATCAATCAATTATATGCTTCCAAGCATAAATAACTTGACGCTTCCACCACCGGTCGCCGTTCCTCCGATTAAGGAACTCCTTGCGGCATCAACTTCGGACTATCAACAGTCCGTATACCGTCAGCAAGAAACGATGCCTACATCACAAAATAATCAGCAACAGCAAGCATTATCCCAGTTGGAATATTCTGATGCTTCGACAACAAAATCGGCTGTTAATAATCCAAGTGAACCCTCGCCAATTGACCTCCTCGCAGCAGCTGCAGAACTTGTCCAAAGAGAAAAAGAAAAAGAATGTCTCGGAGCATTTACAGCAAACAACGAGGATCAGGAAGACGCTGATAACGACAAGAAGTGGAGACCATGGATGATCTAAATCCGTTACTGTATAAAGTTTATATATTTATATATAAATATATATCATATTTTGTATGTTTTGGCCTTTGAATATGAAAGTTTCCATGAATATATATATTTATATTATTATTATTATTATTTGTCTTGTCAATTCAATACATCTCTTCTTTTTTTATTGTTAAAAAACAAATTTTCCTTCTTTTTTTTTTTTTCCTCTTCGCATGAATGGATGGATTTTCGGATTTGTTTAAAAAAAGAAAGAAAGAAAGAAAAACATGTTATCCTTATTTATCTCTTTGTATTCATCGTGTATATTTTTATGTTTTCTTGCATAATGCACAATTACTTTTGTTTTTCCCTTACTTATTTTTTTGCATTTGATTATTCCCGGACCCCAAAAAATTTCATTATGGCATCAAAAACCGTTGGTGTGTGATTAATGAGACCCTTTTCAACGACACCAAACAATTTTTTTTATTTTATTTTATTTTTTTTTTTTTTAATTTGAAGTACCAATATAAAAAACTTCTTTAGAATTTGGTATAGATGAGTTAAATTTTATTGTGAAAAGTTTCAATCGTTGTTGGACATTTGGTATATTAAAAAAAAAAAAAAAGCTTAGGCGTAAGAAATTTAGAATTATAATATATATATTATATATATATATATATATTTTTTACACAATCGCACGTTTCATATTATTTTTTTTTTCTTTTCGTCCTCCAATGTTTTCAATAACATGGTTAGTTTAGCATAAATATTTGAAATTGGTCTTGGAGGATTTGCTAATTATTTTTTTTTTAACACTTGTACAAAATTTCTTTTCTTCCCTTCTATATATATTTTTCTTTTTTCATTTTCCCAAAGATTTTAACTCGAAAAAATTTTAAATATATAAATATTATCTTTTTTTATTATTTTATTTTATTTTATTTTATCTGTATATAAGTTTTTTTCTTTACTTTTTTGTCTTTATCTTTTTTTAGTCATTAAAAAAAATCACCAAAAATCTTTAAAAATGATTTTATATATAGTTTTTCTTTTTCCTTTTTTATTTTGTTTGATTCTTTTTTTTTTTGCAAATTAAAAAAATATATTTGTCTCTTTACGGGTAATGGTTAACCGTGATTGATTTCATATTATTTTATTTTTATCGTTAGTGGGTTTTATATATAATATGAAAATAAAGTTTTATTTTGGGATTTTTTTAATTCCTTGTAATATATACAATTGTTATGAAATTTATATTGTTATTATGTAATTTTAAAATATTTTCGATTAATTTTTTTGGTAAATTATAATTTAAAAAAAAAAAAAAAAACAGGTTGAGTCCAAGATTTTTTTTTAAATTATGATTATACAAATAAAGGTATACCCGAAACCTGTTTATAAACAACTTTTAATAAATTTTGCTTAGCAAAAAAATAATTTTAATAAAAAAAAATTTCTAAAACGTAAAAAACTTGTTAACATTCTTGTTTTAAAGAATGAATTATTTATTTTATTTTATTTTATTTCATTTATTATTTATTATTATTATTTATTATTTTCCTAATATGGCAAATTTCATAATTAAAAGCCTCAAATAAAAATAAAAAAACGTGGGCGCCACATGATAGTAAATTTTTTTTTTTTTTAAAAGAAAAAAAGGATATTATGTTTGTTTTGCTTATGTTTCGAAGTAATTGTAATGTAATGTAAGAAATGTAGAAAAGAGGGCTTAGTATGCACTACCTTAAAAACACCTCAAGTAGGCTTATTTGGAATCCCGCAAGTCGAAGATCCGTAAAAAAAAAAATAAATAAAACAGAGATTGCAAATAGATATTAACTTTTTTTTTTTTTTTTTTTTTTTGAAATTAACAGCATATATTTCATATATTTGATATCTAAAAAATAATTTTTATAAAAATTTTTTGTTATGATACTTATTTCTAAAATACAAAAATTAATAAAAAATATTATCATCATATATTGTTGTGATGAATAAATGTGACACCCTTTTGTCACATAAGTTAACATCAAAATTCTTTTTTATAAATAGCTCCGGGAGGAGGTAAACCTAGTGCTGTTGGGAGGCACCGATTTTTCGAAATATTTTATTCTGTGGAATTTGGTAAATTAATACCATGCATGTATAATTATTTAACCACATTCAAAATACTATAATTCGTTAATTATGCTCAATTTTTGTTCACTAAAACATTGTATTTTATCAAATTTGGAATATATAACATTCCTTGGTGAGTGAGATCTTTTTTTTTAATTTGGTTGATAACTTACTAGAATCAACCTATTTTTACGTTCAATGTTGGCATGTCATTCGAATGACCCTTAAAAATGAATTCAAATAAACTAAAGCGCAAACGAGGGTTAGGACTAGGATGCCCCATTTTCCATTAGATAATAATGATAATCTTAAATTCCGGTCAACTTAACTGGGCAAATTTGCAAATTTATATTTCTGGGCTTCACCAAACATTTTGGCGCTTTTCGAACAGTATTATTTATATTGAGGATTTATCGTAATTACGCAATTAACGAAGATAACCGATTTAGCGACCAACCTAAGTTTCACTAAGATCATAGATCATAACCATTATGTTACCCCCTGATAAAAATTTTCGAAGTATCTAGAACATTTCGTCACTCGTCATATATCAACCGATTTTTGCCGATTTAATATAAATACATGAATCAATCGAGCGGTTCATCAGTACAAACTGAAATCTTCCCACCTGAAAATATGAAAAAAAATAAAAGATTTTATACAAAATAAGCAAAAGTATTGAACTTGACCCTCCTTATGGTATTAAGTTGACCTCTTGCCAATAACTATATAAATAACAATTGTTTTTACAATAAGATCGGCAAGAGGGTCAAGACAGGACCACGAGGAGGGTCAAGTTCGATACATTTGCTATACAGAAAGGTCTTTATTTGATATTTTGCTGAAGTTGATCTTTTGACCCTTGTTTTTAACTCTCGATTTCTCGTTTGCAGATATACCACCGGAATCATGGTATTTTTTTGTTTTGTGGTAGGTGACGACCTTGAGAGGTCCTTTGAAGTTACAGGCGACGACAAAATGACCAAATCGAAACTCAGAGAAATAATCTATGAGAAGATTATAAAAGTATTAATGCCAGAAACTTGGATCTATGGAAGGTGGATATTCCTGGTGATACGGCGAACGTTAAACTGAAAACACTTCAAAGCAGATCCCGTGATGTGGATAAAGAAAATATTACTATACAAGAAATCGAGGTGAAAAGTTGTCTCCATTTAGTGATTTGGCGACATCTTTAAGTATGACTCCAAGAAAATCCGCATTATCGTACAACCGCCACTGTTCGCCTCCACTAGTAAGTGTCTCCTAATTTTTTATTTCTCGAAAAATGATAATTTCGCTATTCTGTTTTCTATATAATGTATTGATCACCTTTATTTCTGCTTGCTTGTGCTAGATCAAGGGCTCACTGACATATCTCGTAAGATTACAGACCTTGGTTATCTGCCTCGACAAGGTACGTATGTGTAAGTTGATATTTTTAATCACAATCTTATATATTTTTTTAACCTCAACCTCTCTTTAGATGGTCTTGGTGGTACGTCGCTAAATAAATCTGAGCAGAATGCATTTACTGTTGAGGGTATCTCTCTTACTCACCCTGATACCAACCAAAGATCTGATCTTGTGTCTTGTCTGGCCAAAAGACTTGAGGAGAAAAGGGTGATTCTTGTCCAGGCTCCTCCCTATTCTGGCAAAACTTTATTATCCCAATTATTGGAGAATTACTTAGTAGTTAACTCTTCAAAACTACTCAGAGGATTAAGGGTTTCATTAGCCCTGTTCAAAATTAATCGGTCGCATTTTTCGGTCGATTTGTGTTGTACAAAATTTATCCAATAAAATTTCTCTATTTTAGATTGCGTATTGCAAGTTATAGAAGAGAAACTTATCGAAAATATACTATTCGAATTAGATGAGCATTTACATTCAAAATATCAATAGGTATAGCTTCGTCATTGAATGAATCAGCTTTTTTTTGTAAAGAATAGTCATTAACTTCAGATTTGCATGTACTGAATGGCATTACACCACCAACTTCATTTTTTTATATGTATTGAATATTTGGTCTCGGGACCAAAAAATTTCCGGTTCCATAACCCATTAAAATATTATTTGGATTAGTTTGTGTTAAAGGTGCTAACTCCAAAGTTCTTGGTGCTAAATTTCTTTGCATGAAAAGTGCTGGTGCTAAAGGTCTTTGCGTTAAAGGTTAATACACCTTTGAAGATTGTTTAACTGTTGTAAGGCTTCGAACGTTTTGAATTTGGTGAGAAGACATGTTTAAAAAAAAGAATACTCGAAGTATTCGCGGTTGATCTAAAAGCTCAAAAAAAATTTAGGTCTTAAAGATCAGAAAATCGGTCGTGTCGCACCAGCCCAATCAGAATAAAATTAAATGCGACCGATCAATTTTGAACAGGCTATTGCTATGGGGTCTTTCTGTGGGAAAGAATTGCGAATATGACACATTTTGTGAGGTGTGGGAGAAGATTGTCGGTGTAGAATGGTGTGAATGGGTAGGACAATGTCGAAAAGTTCCATCTATTTTAATAATAGACGAAGTTCAGAAGATCTATAAGGATATGAATGAAGCTGATGAAAGTATGATGAATACAGGAACTGCAATTGCATTTTGGGATACCATTAAAATGTGCCTTCAATGGTCAAACCTTAGCGTCATTAGGTTTGCCGCATATGGATATAGTACCAACTTGTATTATCAGTAATTATTTATAACGTTCTGTAATTGCATATATATAATAAAGTTAATAACATCGCTATACTAAATACTAACTACATATTAAATAATTATTATCTATCACTTTCCAAGATATATTCTCCACACTTTTCGTCATAATATATTTCTTTGCATAAAAATACCTAAAAATTACGGAAAGACGGAAATTAAATTATTTTTCATTGTTTCAAATAGACTTTAGTGAAAATATTACCATTTCATTTTAGCTTCATATTGCTGTATAGTTCTTGAAATATTGATTATTTGATGCACTAAGGCATTTTTGGTATTACGAAGACCCATATATAATTATTCCAGAGCATCTTCAGGAATTGGGTCTCATTGAGTAAACTCGAAACTTTTAAATGCATTTGTGATCAATCATTATACATGTGTTATCTTTCATAACGGACTCAATTTTGAGTAAAGTTTATTCTGATGAAATTTGTTTTATTAAGATAACAATACGGGTTATACAGTCAAACAGATATGTTTATTTAAAACGCAAAAGCAATAAAGTATATTATTTATTATTTTTTGATTATTACATAGTGATTACGATTACATGTTAAAATGCTTGAAACAATAAACGTGCACATTTAACTTAACCATACCTAATTAAGTAACTTTTTCCTTTGCGGAATATCCGGTAAGTCTCGCATATACTGTATTTGCAATGGTGGAGTAGTTGTGTCACTTTTGACAAATTCGACTGTTCCTAACGATGCAAAATATAAAAGAAAGATATCATTAATTGTTTCATTGCAAATTCAAAAATGGAAATATAGTATATATGTGCCTCTAGTGCCATAAAATGCCGAATGTTTGATTCTAGCAATAGTGGTTTTATCTTTAGCCAGCCGGGTAGTTAAAAAAGGCCATGATCGGTAAAGTCCATCGTATTTGAGGTCCATAGTGTCCGACTCCACCAAATCTCCTGAAGGTAATGGTTATGGGTTTAATATACTTCATTAATTGAAGTAAAATCAAGCCTTATCAATTACAAGCAAACACACCTTGATTTGTTAACAATACCGCTTCCTCCGGACCACCTTTCGCTTTTAACAACTGATTGATGGATTTACGCCCTCGTAACTGCACTTTCAACCTATCTTTTTGTTGTTGAAGAGGTGTGAATCCAGATGGCTTAATTTCCGAATTCAAAATAGGTATCTCGTTGACTAATCACGAAAAATCCGGCCTTGTTGCAGTACCATTTGTGGCACGATTCAACTGAATATTGTATTCTTTGTATGACTAGTAAAAAACAATGGTCGGATGATTGGATGTAGCCAGGGTTGGAAAATTTGTATGTACTAGATAAATTTTGACCCTGTACTTGTACTGTACTGTACTAAGCTATACTAACTGTACTAATTTCCCAACCCTGGATGTAGCAACTTGAAACAGTGCTCATCTTCTGATGTTTTAGTTGGGGTAATGTCAGGAACACTACTACACCTGTTAAGTGTGAAAAAAAAAGTTAAGAGGCAGATCTGATCTCATTTTACACGCTTTATAAAATGAAAGCTTACATGTCATTAAAGATTTGAGAAACAACTTGGCCGATTTCAGAATTGCCTATGGATAAAAAGGCGGTCTTTTCTTTCAAGAAATTGGCCAATGCATTCTGTAAAGAAAATAAAACCTCTGTTAGAAGTACCAGATCAGTTATAAGATATGGATTTTCACGTATAATCATCTGCCATTCACAATTAGTGAAAATATAAGCTGAGAACAATTATTGAAGACAATGCTCTATCAAGTAAGCATAGAAATCATTAGCATAATATATCACCAAATTACTAATATTATTACATGTCTATAAATACTTACAACATTACATAAAAATCACTTCACTTTAATCTGTTAGTTTTTATCTTCTCAAGTACCTCTATTTAATATTTTCTAAATCTTTAAAATACATTAATGTTACCAACTTTTCACTAAAAAATGGAAGCGATATGCAGAATAAAAATACAAGATCTTAATATGTACATATCTAATTTATTAGTTCTCGTAGTAATTCCTTTTTAATATTCATAAATCAACCTTTATTTCTTCATCATCAAATCCTACATCAGAAGAGGAAGGATGGATAATTAGAAAACTTTTCGCTATCATTTTCTGGTTTTGAATGCTTCATTTTTAAGACATATTTTTTGGTCTAAATATAGAAAGTTATACATAAGCTTTACATTCTTGTACTTTACAAACTATAATTTTATGAGCTGATACTTCTTAAAGCGGTTATAAAAAGCATTAGATAGGTAAATACAATCTTGTATAAATCTCTGAATCTGAAGATTAATATTAATAATTATTTAATATGAATGTTATACCTCATCCTTCTCATCAGAAATATCTTTTAATCTGATTTTTACCATTTTATAGTTGCATTAGTTTGTTCAGTAAGGCTTTGAAAAAAAAACTATTCATCTCTTATAAAATACAAAATTTTAATGTAAACATAAAAATTAATATAGACAGAAAAATATTTTTGAAGAGCAATTGTTACTTTTTCTGTGAGTGATGTTAATGTATCTATATCATCCTTGCCTGTATGGATAGCTTTCTTCTTGGAATTCTTCCTATCTGATAAAATACCTAACTTTGTCTTGTTTAAGATAACTTGATCCTTATTTTCAGCTAAGAATTGATCTAAATCAAATTGTAACTGCAAACAGTAAGAAATAATTAGTATAGTTCACATACACTATTATTCAAATTAAATTAACAAATATCTCAGCTTGATCTATTTTCTTTTTTATTAACTGTTTTCTTTCTCAATTTTCTTAAGCTTGATGTCATATCAGAAAAATTTAGTAGATTTTCATTAAGTTCAGGACTTAAAAACGTAAAAGTGAATTATAGTCTACTAACTTATTTTAATACATTCAAGATAAAACATTTAGGAACTGCAAACGAACAAGTTGTTCTTAGCACTAGGATGAGTTATCTTTGACTTTCATACAGATTTAAAAAGAAGTTCACCAAAAAAAATTTATAATTAGTCTCTATAGTTAACTTAACGTGTTGTGAGGTTATTTAGGTGGTTATTTTGATAGTGTTCAACTTCTTTTCTATTCCTTCAATACTTTGTGTGTTAATATATATGTCAATAATGAACCTAACTAGACTCACTTTTAGATTACCATCTTTATTAAAAATAGAAACCACCTTCCTTTAATTTTCATCTGCATTTTCTACAACGTATGAAATGAACTTTGATACAAGAATATACTCAACCACTTTATTAAGCGAGAAATCATCTTTTTTCTTACAGAATTCCAGGATAAAGAGAAGGTAGAAATCTTCAGGGTCAAATTATTTTCCTAACCTTTAAACTGTAGCAGAATAAGAAAAGACAAAAATACAAAAAAAGCTAAAAACTTTCTAAAATAACTATATTTTTATCTTTTGTTTAAATTAAGAGGCATACAATAGTTTTGTCAAGTTATCAGGTTACTTTAAGTTAGTTTAGATAGAAAATATAAATATAAAAAAGATCTCGTAATACAATATTTTATAGATGTGTACTATAAGATGCATTTTACAGATAAATCTGCAGGTGATATATTATATTAGGTAATCACCATCTAAATTATAGGGTATTCAGAATTTGTTGACATGATGACCTAAAAATTTTGGGATAAAAATTATGAAATTGTAAAAATCATGATCATAATTTCAGCTAAAAATTCTTAAGAGTATGTAGATTTTAATATGCCATAACTAGTAAAATAAATAATTTTTTTGAACTTCACATACAATTTTATTTATTTATATAACCAAATATTACATTTTTTATTATTTATCACTAACTAAACTATATATATCAGTACTATTACCAAGATTAAAATAAAGAAAATTAAGCATTTGAATACTTTAAGTGCTACTCTTCTATCTGATAAAATACTTTATAACTAGAAAAATTATGTTCAATATCTATACCAGATATGTAACTATATATATATTAAAGCTAATGAACTAAGTTCTAGAAATACATGTGCTTTACCTATCAATATATATTTAAATCTTTAAATTCTTCAATAGATTCATTAAATCTACAGTAAATAACTCATTCTTGTATTAAAGTATCTATAAGAGAATAAAATTATTTAATAATTCTAAAATTTTCTATATTATAATTAGCTATATTAAATTGAATAAATCTTGGATCAAAACATTATATTATTTTGAATAATGATAAAGCTAGATGATGAAATATGTATTTTTTCATATTTTTCATATAGTAATGTAAAAGCTTTAGAAAATAATGAAATAAATTGTCTAAAATTTTGCTTTACTTCATTTAAAATTTGAAATATCTCATTTGAAATTAGAGGATTTCATATTTCTGATGAAAGAAAAACTTGAAGAGCCATTATCTGAGAATAAGTAAATAGAATTATAATCTTATTTCTTATTTTAAAGAATTCAAAATCATTAATTAACCTAAATAAGAATAAAATTAATAAATTCATTTAATATAAATTTACTTATTAATTGTAATATATATAATAAAATAGATAAATATTTTAACACATAAAACATGATTTCTATTTTGATAAAAGTTATAAAGAACTTAAATAAATTTTGAATTATTATTAATAAAATATTCTGCAATAATAAAAGTAATTAAGTGAAAATATAAGGGTTTGATTCAATATAAAAATAAAAACCATAAATTCTATCATATCTTTATAGATAGTAGTGCTAAAGTAGATGATTCAACACTTATAATAAATGTTTCTTTTACCAACTTTTTCTTTATAAATTATAAGTAAATATTATTTTAATATTCATAATTAGTATATCAATTAATTCAAATTTATGAAAGTTCACCTATATTTTATTAATTAAATTGATAATATATGCTAAACAACAATTATATTTTAAATTTAGTAAAAAAGGAGATAAGTAAAAATATGTTAATTTCATATAAGAAATATTATCAAAAATAAAAAAAATAATATTTTGATAAAA